ATAGAAGATGCAACATTAGTTTCTACATTATGCAAATATTAAGAGTTTCTGGTTATAATATATTAATCATCTTTCAATGCACCAGAAGTAATCACACATTTATTCAATTTTATAAAAGCAGTTTTACCAAAAGTAACAGTACAATTTTTATAAACCAAAAGTGAAACAAGAATGAGATTGCGTCTAACATCTGTGCATAAAGATAGTTATCTAATGCTAATATCCCTATACTCTCTAATTTCAGATGTAATACTCCCACTGACTTAGCTACAACTTTGGCATCAGGTCAAAAGATAAATATATATCTATATCATTAAGACTTCTGGATTCCTGAAATCCTTGCAACGAATCTCAAACATGTATAGTGGCTCTAGAATCTATCCATCAGGAATTAATAAATACAACCACCTAACATGGCTCAATGATTAAATATACATTTTCCTATGCCACGTCGTTGCTTAGACAGTTCGTCCTTGAGTGTCTTAGTTGGCCGCAAAAGAAACAGTTTCCTTTGCCCTCAAAATACACTTATTTATTTCCTTTAACCTTTTGGATGCCCATGTTTTGTGCTAGCCTAGTTCTATTATCATTCTTCTTCTTTTCCTTTGCCCTTCCACTTGGGCTTAGAAGAAGATGGTATAGACTAGGTTAGATTGATAGCAACACCTATACTTTTGATTATCCCTTCATATGTTACCAACTCTATAATAATATCAGCGAGTGTGAACTCAAACTGGTTCCTTATTTAGTTCACTCTAAAATAGCTGAACTTGTTTGGTAACAAGGTAATAATCATGTCAACTTGAAACTTACCACCCAAGTCAGCCCTATTGACCTCCAGTTAATTTTTAAATAATAAACAATCATTTTCAAAATACGATCTTTTACTGAAATTCCTTAAGCTATCTTTATGGTATTCAAATCTAACATAATACTTAGGCATACGCTCTATCTAATCTCACCAAAACATCTCATTGAGATATAATATAATACTTGAAGCAAATAAAATAATACAAATATTAGCTTTGGAGCGTATTTGAGATAAACTTTAGGATGTTGCACCGAGCCATATCATTTGTCTTATTTCACTTATTAAAAGCATTAATGTTATCTTGGGTATCTTAAAATAAAAGGATTAGGTATAGGAGTAGTAAATACATTTTGTACCCTTACGTTGTGAATAAAATATCTAAGTGCCTTTTTCCAGTCCGTATAAATGAGGTCCAGTGCATTAAATATGTTAGCAAGCAGATTAAATAGATTAGATATAATTAATCTGAATATAAATGCATTCATACAATAAGCAAGGTGAATTATTTAACACCATCATGCATATTTAAAATTAAAATGAGTTTGTCAACTATAAAATATAATAAATCTCAATAGAATAAGAGTTCATTATCACTATTGGTGAGCAATTCCTTTTAATTAATGTGGGTCCCTCAATTTCGTAGCATAATAAATCACACAATCAATACGACAATAATTTATCCTAATGAAGGAGTTCATTATTACTATTGTTGAGATTCATTTACTATTAGGTGAGCACTTCCATTAATATGTGGGTCCCTTAACCACTGTGCATGAAAAATCGGATAACCAATACGCTAATAACTTATTCGATTGGCGAAATTCATTATTGTTATTGGCGGGCAAATCCCATCATTTCCATATCTATTAAGACAATGCTTTGTCTCTATATGAAATGATTATCAATTATGTTTAGCCTTTTTAAAATCACCTAGTGTAGACCACTCTGTTAGGGAGCTAACACTATTGATTTTAGATTGAGTGTACAACGTTATTAATGCTCCAACGAAAAATAAAACATTAAATATCTTGTTATTATAATTTAGACTCTTTAAATCATGCACGGGGTCTTATTTTTAAGGATCTAATTGTAATGAACATTTAATATTTTTATTTTCATGAGACAACCATTCTTGTAATTTTTAGACTCTTCAAATCATGCGTGAGGCCTTATTTTTTAAGATCTAATTACAATGATTATAATAACGAAAGCCATGGGGTAATGTATAAAAATCCCCGCTCCCACTCAATTTTTAATCATTTATAATTAGGATTTTCAATTTATTCATTTACATGATATAATGCATGCAAAACACCTTGATTTTAATCCAATTAAATTTGAAAATATTTGGATTTTAAATAATTCACTAATATTTAATTGAGGCACAACTTTAAAAAAAATAAATAAATAATTTTTCAAAAATAATTTTTCATTTCCCTTTAAGTGCCCTCTAATTAATTACTAATCAAATCCAATTAATTTTCATTATTTAATTAATATAAATCAAGTCATTTACATAAATATCGTGGATCCAATACATGAATAATAATTAATTAATAATTATCTATTCTATGCATTTTATACATTACATAAATAAATAAATGACAGATAAAGTAAATAAAATGGCCAATGGATTTATCTTTTAATATTTAATTCCTCTAATAATTACATGAGGGTCCTCCATTGGCTTGCAAACACCCACAGGAGGCTAGTACGCGCCTGGAGAAGCAAAACAGTGCTTAGGATGCGCCCGGAAGGTCCTGCACGTGCTGGCACGCGCCTCTGAAGGTTCCCAGCGTGTGCCACGCACTCCCACGCGCCTGCACGCGCTGGAGGGAGGTTGCAACGCGTGCCGCGCGATTCCAAGCGCCGGCATGCACGTGTGGGGGTAACACGCTGGCACGTGCCAGTTAACGCCTACTGCCGTTGTGCGTGCGCCTCACATGCTTTAGGATTGGGTGCACTGTGAGCGCAGCATAGACTTGCTTGTACCAAATCATCTCGCCGCTTGATGATGATTGAAGGGCTATTGGTGCGCGCGCATATGGACCGCGCCGCACCGGATCAACCCCCAACCCTTTCGGCGCCACCAATACTGCTGGCAATGCTCCAGCCGCCAGAAAATCTCCGAAATATTCCAGAAAATTAATAAAAAAAATTCCATAAATTAAATTAGGCCCTTAAAAAATCCTAGAAAAATTTTAAAAAAATTCAGAAATTTCCTGAAGCCTATTTTAACCCTTTTGGACCTTCTTAAAGCTTTATAGCATCATTTGATGAAGATTACATGGTTTTAAAAAATGTTTACATTTGAAATACAATGAAAAAAATTAAATTACATCATTGAACTTTCAAATAGTGAAATCAAAACCTTAATTACATTCATCAAAAGATAAAATTACATTAAATTAACCTATAAACTTCATCCATGACCTAAACATACATCAACATCATCCAATCACAAATATACATACATTATGATCATATATTAATACATACATATGCATATATAAATTTGGATCCATGAATGATAATTTTTTTCAATAAAAAATATGAACTCTACACATGAATCAAATCTACCTCTGATACCATTGTTGAGGAAACGAAAGTTTTTAAAACTTTTAGAGGGATTTTAAAATAAAGATTTTGATTCATGTGTAGAGACAAGTTTTTTTATGCATGAAGAATATGATGATCCATTCAATTTAAGGATAGAAAACTTATATCAAGATTTGAGTAAACCTTAAATCTCTTTTCTAAAGTGAATATTCTCACTTATTATAGATCCCTTAGTTAGATGCCTCCTCCTTGGATCTCCATCTTCTTGGTAATGATCTTGTCTTTAGGAATCACCCATAAGCCTCCATGAATTATCTTGGAAAGCTAAGCTTGTAGTACTTGATAACTGGTCTGTTGTGAAAAATATTATAAAGTACATTAGGAGAACCAATAATCTCATACTCATTTATGAATGTGATGATGTGGTTCCAGTCGGGTATGCTAGTTCTGATTTTAAATCAGGTGCAGATACTATAAGGTCCATGACTTAGTGTATGTTCACTCAATGGCAGGGAAATCAGTTAGTAGATTGTTAAGCAGATTTCAACTGCTTACTCAAACCTGAAGGTGGAGTACATTATAGCTTTAAAGGCAGTAAAGGAAGCCTTTTGGTTTGATCTCACTGATTTAGAGGTTGTGGAGCATACTAGCCTACCTATCGAGCTATATTGCGACAATAGTGCAGAAGTAGTCCAAACCAATGACCTAAGGTTCCATAGAGAAATAAGGTACACTGAGAGGAAGGTGTCATGTTCTACATGATATTGTCTAGCAAGAAAATGTACTCATGGCTAGAACATTGCGTTAGAATATAACTTTGTTGATCCATTAACAAAGGTGTCATCGATCAATAGTTTTGATCGTCACCTGGAAAACATTGGAGTTAAATGCAATTCGAATTGACTATGAAGACAAGTGGGAGCTGTTGGGATTTATATGCCCTAACATAGCGAATTAGGAGAACCCATCAATATCCCCTTGAGAAGAAGAATTAGGAGTTTCACCTCTGCCCGAGGCAGTCTTTGCCGCCTCAACCTTAAGTTCAACTGAACGGAAGCCAGGAAAATCAGCTTCAACTACACATGTTTCGTTCAGAAGATAACCTCTACCAGGGTCATACAGTTCACTGAGAGGCATGAATTTAGAGTGACCCCAATCTCTTTCTCGTGCATTGAACTGGTGTTGAAAGTCTGCATAATGAAAGCAGTCACAATTATAACAAAATATAACACAAAAAGGTCAATGGCTGTAGGCTACAACTAGAAGTGCAGTGAACCGCTACAACTAGGCACACACCTTTAGTTTCAGTATATAAAACATATAGACTAGTAGAGGTATGGTTTTGAAAATGGAGTGCCAAGTAAAGGATGGAAAAGAAATTGAATTTAGAATTGGAGATAAAACTTTGCAAGGGCCACCTTAATATCTTCTAAAAGATGGGCACTGAAAACTTTGTTTTGTTGGTGATGGGGGGCAATGCCTCCTTATCATCTATGCCACTCAGCCAATACATACAAAGACGTAAAGATATAATTTGCATGAAAAATTTATCGGTTTAACATTAACAGAATCAATCTATTCTATGGTCGATTATCCAGTGAAGTATTATGCCACATCAATCTGATAAGCATTTAAAGTAAATTAAATGTTTATATTTTTCAACACCAAAACAAAAAACATATACTATCTCACCATCCAGTGAATACAGTCAATGCATCACCAAAATCAGTTTTGTCTCCAATATACCATACATTTGGGTAAATTCTAGCCTGAAAATTATAAAATTAAGGATATACTTCCATGCCATTCAACATGTGATTGCATTTCATTACAGACAATTTACACATTAACCACCTCTAAGAAAGGCTGCAGGATTGAGATTCTTACTGTCTGAGTGGCAGTTAATTGACTGTAACTCACAATGCTTATTCTGACTTTTTCTTCTCCTTCTTTAGCATGAATGTTGAGTATCGTTTTTGGCCTTCTACCACTGGCAAGGGGGAGGAGTCTTTGGTATCAACTGATAGAACGGGTAAATTTCATATATAAGGCAAGATTAGAACAATTGAGAACTTAGTCAGCCTTGTTGGAACAAAAGAGATTAATTGTTTGGTATCATGAATGTGTCTCTAAGCTGAGTCCATATTTGCTGGACCCATGACAGAGAGCTCTCTGCAGTTTTCTTCTCGGTCTCAAGAGTTGAGATCTCCTCAAGAACAGAGGATCTAGACTGCTCTAGATTAACCATCTTCCAATGCAGTTGCTTGATCTCTTTCTCAGCACTTTTCTTCTTCTCGGAGATCTTTGCCAGTTCAGCCTGCAGCCGCTCAACCTCTTGTTGAAGCTTTGCCTCCTCCGAGATCAAGTCCTTGTGAATAGCTCTCCGCATTTGGAACGCGAATGCATTAATCTTTACATGCTCAACCAAACACTTCTTTGTTCCTCGCTTTTCTGCTATTTTTTCCTCTTACCTCCTTCAAAGAATGGTTGGAAGTCAAAGTTTTGAGAACTGATGGAAACTCAACCTTAAGGGCGTTCAGCTGTGCAAGCTGGGCTGGAGTAAGGTCATGGCACTCTGACAAGACACACATGGATTCTGTAATGTGTGCGGCAAAATCAGGAATTTCTGATAAGTCCTTAGATAGCATCTTTATAAAGAATTTTTTGGCTTCATCAATTGTTGATTGAGGGATGGAGGATACGACAGATCCTTCAGTAGTGGAGTCAAAGGGTGCATCAGTCTCTAATACAGACACCAACTTGGAGATATAGGCATCCATGTTACCAAATGAAATTGACTCAAGAGGAGCATCCATTGGAGTACTCCTCGGCAACTCAACTTCCTACAAAGATTACAAAAAAAAAAAATCTTTTTTAGAAACCGGCTCTAAGGTGAAATAAAAGTTATTTCTTTCAGAGATAAAAAACAAAGCATTGTTGATTGAAATTCTTTTTAGAGACCGACTCTCAGGTCAAAAAGTTTTTTCTTTCAAAGATAAGATGAACAAAACATTGTTGATTGAGTCCGGAGAAAAGCAGCTGACCGGATCTTGGGCATGAGGGGAATTAACCGTTGATTCCTTTTCAACAATTGGAGTGGTTGGTGGGACCAAAGTCTTGATCACTTCGGTTGCTGATTCACTGGCAGGAGGGAGGCTCAAGGTATCAGTCTGAGGCAAGATTGTATCAGTACCAGAAGCAGTCTGTGTTGTGCTCCCATCGATATCCCCTTGAGAAGAAGACTTGGTAGTTTCACCTTTGGCCAAGGCAGTCTTCACCTCCTCAACCCTAAGTTCGACTGATCGGAAACCTGGAAAATCAACTTCAACAACACATGTATCGTTCACAAGATAACCTCTACCAGGGTCACACAGTTTACTAAAAGGCATGAATGATGCGAATCCCCAACCACTTTCTTGTGCATGGAACTGGTGTTGAGCGTCTGCATAATGAAAGCATATCATATCTCACCATCCAGTGACTACAGTCAATGCAACAAAATCAGCTTTGTCCAATATATTTACATTTGGGCAAATTCTAGCCTGAACATTATAAAATTAAGGATATATTTCCATGCGTTTGCATTTCATTAGAGACAAATTAAGCATTAACCATATAAATTATAAAAGACTTCTAAGTAAGGCTGCAGGATTGAGATTCTTGCAATCTGTCTTGAGTGGCAGTTAATTAACTAACATGCCTTATTCCAACTTATTTCCTCTCCTTCTTTGGGTCCAGTGCAGAAAATATTTTTAAAGTATGCTTTAAGTACATATCACATCCCTTACATGAAAAAAACACCCCTAAAGTTTTTGACAAATTTAAACCCTAAATTGACTAAATTACTCTTCTTGAATTATTTTATAAAATATATAAAAATAAATAATTTTGTAAAATGACCGAAAATGGCATTCTTGGAGGACGCCCTCACGTGAAAAAAAAAAACACCCCTAAAGTTTCAAATTGGTGCAAAAGTTTATTACTATTACTGAACCATTTTATAACATATATAAAAATAATAATTTTATAAAAGGACACTGTTGGAGGATGCCGACAATAGATAAGTAAAAATAAAAATAAAAATAAAAATAAAAATAAAAGTATAAAAAAGTAAAGATAAAAATAAAAAATAAAAAACTAAAATAAAGTGCAAACGAAATAAAGCAATTGAACTTAGTCTTCTTGGAAAAATGCAGAAGGGTGATGAACAGGTGATAAGTGATAAGTAACAGTAAAGAACTCGGTAACAGTAAAGCTGCGCACAATTTAATGAACAAGAGGTGTAACAGTAGTATGTAAACATTAACTATTATTTAATTACTTAGTGAATCCTGCACTGCACCATCGCGAGGAAAGAAAACAAGGACATCTTTTCTAACTAAAGCTCTTATTCCACATTTGTGGCATTCAATAATTATAAGTTAACTACATATATAGAATTACCTGAAGTAACATAAAAATATCATAAAGCACAAATTCTGCAAAGATAAATGATATTTTTCCACACAACATATAAGCCTATGTGTGTGTGTGTGTATATATATATATATATATATATATAAAAGCTAAAAGAACACACCTATCTTTACTGTGGTCTTGTTATTAATATGATTGATCACAGATAAGCTGAATTTAATGTATTTTGTCCACCCATATGGCAAAGTTTCTGAATCCGCAACATCTAAATAGATCCCCAAATTGTCCGAATTCTTGCTCCCCTTTGGAAATATAAGCACCCGCCTTTTTCACACGATGCAGAAAATAAAATCTTAAAAATCAACCATAAAATCAAAATCAAAATCAAAATCTAGAAAGAGGGTAGAGATGAAAAATTACCATTTGTATCCTCCAACATAGAAACTTTCAGAGTATAACTTCTGTGTGTTCAGCGTCGAAAAGTTGTCAATCCTCCATGTGAAGCGTGTTGATGATGGATCATCAACTGTATTAGCAGTTTTTGCTGGTGCGACAAACAGTGATTTTGGAAGAACAATAAAAAGAATCAAAACCCAGCAAATGAATCAATTCTACTACACACAGACGCGTATACAAGCACATAGTCTGCGTGACTTTGGGTGAACTGGTTCTATTGAAACTGAAATTAAACCCAAAATTTGAAAACTAGATTAGAGGCAATACCTTCCATGGGGCGAGGGATTGTGTTAGAATCAGAGAAAATTTACTTGAACATGTTGGAATCCAGAGGGATAAGATAGAAGTCCTAAAATGCTTTACCCTTTTTTTTTCTTTCAGAATTTGCAATGCTTTAGTTTTTCCGTACAAAGAAAATTCTAACTTTTTTTTTTTAAAAAAAGTTTTTATTTTTTGAAAAAGTTGATATTAGAAAAAGCGAAGGGACACTGTTTAGAGTCCAGTAGTTCAAACTTCAAACCAGTACTGGAACCAATTCTTTTTCAAATCATTTCATGTTAAACGCCGAGTGCATTTGTCACTTACAAAATTCATAATTGTAATTGTAATTTTTTTTTAAAAAATAAAACAAAATAAAAATACATATGTGATCTTCTGAGAGATAAAATGAACCATCACACACGAGATTTACGCCCATTTTTATTTATTTATTTATTATTATTTTTTTTTTAATAATTTGGTATTAAGGATTAGGACCGCAAATGAATCATTTAAACGAAATTGATTCATCTAAACCTCTATATGTGCTCATTTAGTAATAATGAACTAAGTATTATTGAGGTTGGAATCGATTTTAAATATTATTAGGTTTGACTCGTGATCACACTAATGACTAAAATTTGTAGGCTGGTTGTGGAGAGAAAAATTCCCTCCAATAAGAATCATCTACGTCATTAAATAAGGTATTACCTCATTGATTCTCCACTAGCTCAATCGAAGCCCAATTTTGATCAACCCCAAGTAAAGTCACTATCGGCCCAAGGTTATTCATGTTAAACTCTCAGTCTGCTAAAAATTCATCCAGCCCACTCACAATTATAATCCAAGTACGGTTAAGATTAATCAAATCCTCCTTGACAAGGGATCCTTCATAGAAGGAAATTTTGCATAGGAAGAAGTCCTGTATAGTAAAGAAGTTCTACATGGAAATAACTGAAGAAGGAAAGAACCATTTATGTAAAGAATTATATATGGAATAAATTGGAGGACAAGCATAACGAATCCTACCATAATTTTACCTTTTTTTTGTATATAATAAATAGAGGCATAGACCTCCAATATTCATCATCGAGCATTACAAGCTTTTCTCTGAATTGTTCTTGTTATTAATTGTTCTTTTATTTGAGTGAGTTGTATTTATTCTTTTAGCTTTTTAGTTAAACGAATTTTTGCACCTACACTTTGGCGCCGTATGTGGGAATCGTATAGAAATATATCCCCACGAGTGATTAGAGATCTTTTATGCGACTACAATCCGGGATGTCAGTCAGAGGATCCACAGTCGTAGCCGATCAACAGATGGAACTAATGCAGAAAATGCACGAAGAGTTCCTACAGCAATTTGAGACACTCAGTCAAGCAAACAAGGCCAGTATGGCTCAGATTGCATTGCTTCAACAAAGGAATGACACTCTCCAAACAGTAGTGGAGCAAATAATAGCACAACCCCACCAGGCAATGCAGTGGGAGTCCCCCTCAACCATGATGCTCCTCTTGTAGACGAATTTCAAGCCAACAAGAGTCGGCAGGAGCAAAGGACAAGGACCGAGACGGTAGCTTTAGACAACCACCCCCAACGCACACAAGATGAACAGGCCGAGTCCAGCTGCACTCTCACAATATGGATAAATGACGTTCAAGATGTCATCAGGAGGTCTTTGATGAAAAAAAGCTCATGAGGATCTAGACACTTGCTCAGATGGCTAAGGAACATAAGGCCTCTCTGGTGAAGACTCCATTCACTGATCAGATATACTACGTCGAAAGACCTAAAAAATTTACCATGTCGGCCTTTACTCAGTTTGATGGCACGGGAGATCCATCTCGTCACCTCAACCACTACTCCCAAAAGATGGCTCTGGATAATCACAACGATGCATTCATGTGCAAAGTTTTCCCAACTAGTTTGACAGAAGCCACACAAGAATGGTTCAAGAATAGGCCACACAAGTCAATCCCGAATTACGAAACTCTATGCGCCATGTTCCTAGCTCAATACTGTGATAATAAGAAGCAAAAAAGACTATTGCTAGTCTCTTCATTATAAGGCAGGGGAGAGGAAAAATGCTACAGGATTTCTTGTCCAGATATAACATGGAAACTTCGGAGATAACGGACTGTCACCTTGAAATAGCCGTCAAAGGGACTAAGTTATGTACCTCAATAGTCAAACACTCCCCTCTAGAAATGCAGTCTCTCACTGCCAGGGCACAAGTTTACATTCGACTTGAGGAGAATGTAACTAACCAATCACAACATGCCACCCTCGTTACAGTAGAAAATAAGCCTCAGGAAAAAGCCTTGAGTTCAAAGAATCAAAGAAGCCAGTATGCCTCGGTTGTAAACTATAATAATTCGTGTTAAGCCATTAATCACAAATTTACATGAATCCCATATCTTAGAACTTCATGATTTTCACATATCTATAATGCATAAATAAATACTAGTTAGATATAAATACATCGATTCACGATATCAATTCTTGTTGAGATTAAGTTTAACGTCCAGATCATTTGACCACGAACTAATCTGCAACTCTGATCAACAGGCAAAGGTAAAAACTGGTTTATCTCTCTTGGCCTTTTGCACACATAAAACTTTTACGTGCTGTTTCATTAATTGTACATAATTGATGTAGTATATGCACTTTTATAAAGGCAGAGAGAGGACCAATTTTCCTTATAGTAACATAATTCTACTTTCCATCAAAGTAAGGAATAAGAAAGGAAAATACTTCTCCAATAAGTAATTACCAAAAAGGTAATTATAAGTTGACCAAAAATAAATAATATTAATTGATATTTATTTACTTACCCACCAAGTAATATGTCACATGTCCAAATCATGTGGGCCACAATTAAATAAATAATCTTGCATTCTCCCACTTGGCACATACGATAATTTCTGTAGTGGTTTAGTAAAATAGTCATTAATGTACACCATAAATCAGATTAACTCATTAAATTGGTCATCATAAATACCATGGTAAATAAATTACCAATGCGAGTCATGGTAGTTATATATCCTTAAATGACACAGTCCCTTCCATGTACCACAACACTAGTAATCTATTCAATATAGTCTATAAATGAGAAATATCAATAATGATCTAACAATAATGTCTTTTCCAAGACTGTTCCTATTACCACTTATTAAAGTAATACGTACATGTACATTAATTAATAGAAAATATCATAAACACATTTAATCAGCGCAAAATGTCAAATATATATAAGCACTATTTAAGCAATCCACAATTAAAAAATAATCATCATTGACTACATTTAAGACCCATTCTTTCAACATGTTCCATAAATGTCTTGGATGGTAATCCATTCATTAATGGATTGCAATCATAAGTTGTGTGCTTATAATTTCAATAGACATTCGTTGTTTCTAAATATCTTCTTTAATGATAAAGTATTTCAATTTTAGAATACCTATCATTTTTCATACAAGAAGATCAACAATTGCAGCATAAATTTTTAGCAATCTGAAAACGGTACCCATAACTCCAAGTCCTGAAATAAATTCTGCAACCATAAATTATAGCCTCAAAGCATGCTACAAATTAAAATTTCATAATAGACAAAGTAATCATAAATTACTTTGCACTTTTTCGTAATATTGTTCCTCCAACCAAATCTTCTAGAGCTCTTTTAATATATGCTTTATGAGACAATTCTAAAAACAAATCAATGTAATCTATAATGAAATATTTCTATTCCTATCACATAGGATGCCTCATCCATATATTTCATTTCAAAGTTCTTAGAAATAACTTTTAGTTTCATATAATAAACTAAGATCACTACTAACAAATAAAATATCATCAATATATAGAATCAGAAATATAAACTTACTCCCACTAACCTTTTAGTATATACACTGATCAACAGTGTTTTTCTTAAAACCAAAAAAAATAATGGTATCATTAAACTTAATATACCATTATTATGAAGCTTGTTTAAATTCATATATTGACATCTTAAGTTTACGATTCATGAATTCTTTACCCTCTAATATGAAGTCTTCAAGTTGTTTCATATGGACTTCTTCTTATAAACTCCTATTCATAAAAATTGTATTCACATCTATTTGATGTAACTCTAAATCATAATAAGTTATTAATGCCATGATATTTTAAAAGATTCCTTCTTAAATACTAGAGAGAAGGTTTCTTTATATTCTCTTCATTCATGACACTAATCAATTTAGTAAAATCATTACTGTTAATGGCTTGTGAATATGTAACCTGATCCGTATATATCTCACTATATATCAAATCAGATTCTTGCAGATATATCAAATAGTCATCCAGAATAGCAGATCTCCTTTCTCTTTGAGATCGTCTTAATGTCATTCCTTATGATTCTTCTACAATCTATTCATTGGTGACAATCTCATTATAGAGTTGTTGATCATTTAATTATTCTTCGTTGTTATACGGTTCAACAACTGAAGGAACAATTATTTCCTTATAAGTTATGGATAAAGATATTTGTACCCTAACTTCTGAAATGATCAAATTCTTATTTTTATCACTCCCACTGATTTCACCATTCTTAATGAATCTGACATTACCGGTTTCAATAATTATCGTACTATGTTTCGGATAGTAAAACTTGTACCCTTTAGATTACTTAATATCCACAACATTATGGGTAACGAGGGATTACTTAACATACTCCTAACCAATTCCATAAGAATACGATTACGCCTTATAGCTATACGCTTCTGCTGTGGCACGTATAGCAAAGTGTATTGAACACAAATGGCATATTAACCTGTTTAACAAACGGTTAGAGTATTAACCTGTTTCATCATACTTTATATAATATTCACTACCTCTATATGACTTTATGATTTTCACTTTCTATCTAGTTATTTTTCAACCTCATTTATGTATACTTCAAGAGTACCCACTGTTTGAGATTTTTCATACAATAAATAGATATATCCATAACGTGAAAAATCAACTATAAAGGCGATAAAATACTTTTCTCCTCCAAAAGATGGAACATCAGAAGGTCTACAAATAATTTCAAGAAGCTATGTACTTATTGTGGCTCATTTCTTTGTGCGTTTAGTTTGTCTACCCTTAATACAATCTACACACACATCAAAAT